AGAGACGTCTTCGGACAGCGCTGGCTCTTCGGCTTTGAAACGGAGATGAGCACTGCCCCCTAAAGTTGGGAACAACTAGCACATACTGTATGTGCGAGTGGAACCTTTACTTTTATTGATGAAAGATCAAGATAGCAATAGCAATAGCAGTTCGACTTATATACCGCTTCATAGGGCTTTCAGCCCTCTCTAAGCGGTTTACAGAGTCAGCATATCACCCCCACAATCTGGGTCCTCATTTCACCCACCTCGGAAGGATGGAAGGCTGAGTCAACTTTTGAGCCGGTGAGATTTGAATCGCCGAACTGCAGTTAGCAGTCAGCTGAAGTGGCCTGCAGTACTGCACTCTAACCACTGCACCACCTTACACTTCACCGAGGTCACTTAAAAGTTTGTTTGCTCAAATTTTACTGTCATTTCACCTTGGAAAACCTTCATCTACTGTATTAAAAGTCTCCTGCATAGCTCATACGGCATCATTGTGGCAATTATAGACTCTGTGTCTTTTACATGATTGCATCACGACATGCCCAACATCATTGTTGGTTTTGCCATACCTCTCCTTGTGGACGTTCTCCTTTCTCCAGGCCAATGGGCAATCTGCCCAGTGGGTGGGCCTGAAATCTTGATTCCAGCACAAGGATGCCAGACCTTTCCCCCCCACCCCTCCCCTTTACAGTCTTCTGTCCCAGAGACAGCAGGGGAAAAAATGTGAAGCTCAGTTTAACATCCTGTGATTCCTTTCTCAGTAAACATGGACATGCAACAATTCTGCTGTGTTGTCATGGTGCTAAAAATTTGAACTGTTTGGGTCAGGCTGAGGTCAGACTTAGTTTAAAGCTTGTGTGGGAAGTATTTTTATATAGAGATAAAATCATGCTGGGATCGGAGAGCTAAACCAAGCCAGGTCCAGCTGTTTTTACAGCAAAGTTTTATATCTACAAATGCAACAGACACGGATTTCCTGATGTGTTTGCATAGAGTCCCCTGCTGTTATGACACGTGTGTTTGCACATGAGGTTGTCTAGCATGGATTTCCCAACAAAGAATTCATGTATCTTGTTAGGCACCTTTGCAAGTGCAGCTAAACATTTCTCTCATGGACTCCTCTGTGACCAGAGGTGGGTTTCATATAATTTTACCACTGGTTCGCTGCATGCCAAAACAGTGAGCATGCGCCTTCTGTGCATGTGTGTGGCCTTCCGTGCAGGCGCTTTGCTCACAATGCGCGGCTTGCATGCAGACACATGGCTTAGAAAACATGGCCCAAGCAGGATGGCATAGCGCCAGGGCAAGTGGGCTACCCGCAGGTCGCAACTACCGGTTCGCCCGAATCGGTTGAATGCCACCACTGTCTGTGACGCTGAATATGTTTGCACATTGCAGTCTGTTTTGGCAAATGATCAATTGCCCAGAATTCCCCAGCAAGCATAATGCAGGTGTAGAAGAGGCAGGATGTCTATGGAAATTCTCAGTCACTTCCACGTCATGGTTGTCCCAAAGGAGCTTTTTCAGGGGGCAACTGGACTTTCTGGTTTTTCTCTGAAGTCGCTTCACTTCTCATCCAAGAAGTTTCTTTAACTCTGACTGGGTGGTGGGGATAGAAGAAGCAGGGTTTCTATTATACAGCCACGACTGTCATTTTGACTTTTTAAACTATCTCCCCAAAATACCTGCACATTATTCTAATTACAGACCCCTGATTTTCCTCAAAGGGATGACCCTCCCCCTCGCCTCCCCCCTCCAGTCTTCCCTGGGATTTAATTGAAGCATGGAAAGCCGGCAATGCTGCAGACATTTATGTAAGGAAAGATTAGACATTCATCCATTTGCTCCCTGGGCTACGACACAATTCACACACACACACAAAGAACTGAATTAACATTGTTGGAAGAAATGTCCATCTGGGTTCAGTTCAGAGGTGGGTTCCTACCAGTTCGCACCTACCAGTTAGAAGAAGTTCCACCAGTGGACCCAGAAAGCAGGCCACACCTACAGAAGAGGTTCCAAAATTTTTTGAAACCCACCACTGGTCCTTGGATATGATTATTCTACACTATCATGCTCNGGAGGAGGAGGGCTACCTTTGGAGGCAAAGAACGAAGGATATAGAACGCCCTTCTGTCACCGCGCTGTTGTCCCCGCGGTGATGACGCGCGATGATGACGTCGCGACTTTAGTGACGCGATTTAATCTCCGCTATTTTGCGTAGCGCGGTTTTGTCGTGCCACGATAAAAATAACTTGTGGCCAGGAAAGGGGATAATTTCAATAGAAGAATATATGTAACTCAGAATTGAATTGTGATGTTCTTGGGGTTCTCTGTGATTGGATGTCTGTTGCAGATGTTTTATTACCTAGCTAGGTAACATCATCAGTGCTGATTTGGGTAATTAAACATATGAAGCAAACAGTCAAACCCAGGGAGCACCAAGAAGACAAAATGGGTAATTGGATGAAATAATTAAAAACCACTAAGCCATCCATAGTAGTGGTTAAATCAGGATGACTGCATTGGCACAAAGGTATGGATCCTGGTTGTTAAGCCAGGATGGTACAGTGAATTTGGACATCACCTTTCTCAAAAACAAAACCCACCTTTGCTTATTCTTTCAAGGGTATTTGCCATGATGATAATGTGGATTATGCCTGATGTCAAAATGGGTTTGAAAGGTCCTCTTAAAGGTATACAAAAATATTTTATTTCCATTTGTTGTGCAAAATGCTGTCACATTGCGTATTGTAGAAAAAAAGAGGTTGTGTCCCTTGGTGAAATTGTAGGCGCCCAGAAAGTAGGCTTGGCTGCTGGTTGATTGCTGAATAATGTGGATTATTGGAGATTTTGAAGTTGGAGACTTGGGAGTGAGAGATGCAAGTCAAAATATTTGAACTTGATAAGCTAGATGAGGGTATTTTGAACTAGACTTCTAGGAATACAGCACCTCTTGTTGTGCTAGGCCCAGAGGAAATCCCCTACTTTTTGAGTCTTGAAAGTGATTGATTGCATCTTTGCTGATATTACTGGAAGGTTTGGTTTATATACATATTGCAAAATCAGCTTTGTATCATCAAATGAAGAGTATAAAGAAGCTACTAAGATAAAGTGGCATGAATAAGCATGTATCTAGTAGTTTTCTTAAATTTATCTCCTTTGATATATATTCTTTTTTAGATTTTTATATTCAGATGAAGTTCAGATTGGTCCTGAAACTGTTATGACCACTCTCTATACAGCTAAGAAGTATGCTGTCCCTGCTCTGGAAGCTCATTGTGTAGAATTTCTCACTAAGCACCTTCGGGCAGATAATGCTTTTATGCTGCTTACTCAGGTAACAATCCAACTGTTTTGTTGGAGTTTTGTGTTTCATATCTTTTTTTTTTACTGAATTCAAGGCTCCAGGGCTAGACTTTCAACTGGGTGACTGATTATCAAATACTTTCTGAAACAAAATTGAAAGAGATTGCAACTTGTATCCATTAGACTTGTATATTGGAGAGTTGTCCTTAAATATAGTAAAGTACTGTTACATTGTTGGTCTTTTATTTCCTACTATGCAGTTCTTCTTTCTTGTAGTAAGAACTAAATCTGGGAAGGTTTGGGAAAGGAGCGTTAAATTAAAAATCCCTTAAAAGCAGCAAACTTTCCTTGAGTTTCCTTCAATTAAAATAACTGTGACTTTTATTATTGAATGTTGAAATGTTATTAGTTGCTGTGGGAGTGAGATGGGCGGTTTCTCCATTTGATAAGTAAAAAAGTAAACATTAAAAAAAACTATTTCTATAATTTTGGACAAATATTTTTGGACAGGCTCGCTTATTTGATGAACCTCAACTGGCCAGTCTCTGCCTTGACACAATAGACAAAAGTACCATGGATGCAATAAGTGCAGAAGGCTTTACGGATATTGATATAGGTAAGTGGCTCCTAAACATAAATGTTTTTACATTACATTGGCAATCTGTGACAATCCATTGGCGTTGGTCCTAATCACTGATTGGAATCTGAATCCCACAGCATCCAAAGAGCACTATATTCCCTGTTCCTTAAAAAATCAGTTTTCATATATACCTCCCATTAATAAGAGATTGGCTAAGATGTTGTCTTTTTGGTTAGCAGGTTTTTGCAGCATTATCCTACACTGATTTTACAGTATAATTATTTGACTTTTATGTTTAAAGATTCTGGTTGAATTACTACTGGATGAATTTTTCAATAAGGTGTGAATAGGATTACGGGAGTATCAAACTATTTTGGTGCAGGATGATTATTTTTAATAGCTAGAAGTTGTTTTATGCAACAGTAGTTCTGATTCATTCTTCAGTATGCAGAAGTAGTTTTCCATTAGAAGATGATTCATGTCTTGTTTTCATCAGGGAAGGGACAGCTGTCCGAAACCAGTTTAGCTGAAGCCAGACTTGCATGTACCGCAATCTTATTTGTGATCTATGCAAAAGTGTGCAATAAAAACTCCAATCTTCTTCCTCAGACACATTGTGTGCTGTCCTGGAAAGAGATACACTCAGCATTCGAGAGAGCCGCCTCTTTGGAGCCGTGGTGCGTTGGGCCGAAGCGGAATGTCAGAGGCAGCAGCTACCAGTCACCTCTGCAAATAAGCAGAAAGTACTTGGCAAAGCTCTCTCTTTAATCCGTTTCCCACTCATGACAATCGAAGAGTTTGCAGCAGGTAACTTTTCTGATTGGCTTTGTCGTTGTAAAAGTTACACCAAACTTAAATAGAAAAACCTGTCAATGCTTCTATCTTACGAGAAAGGACCTATTTTATCTCTCTTCCCCCCGCCCCCAGTGGTGGGTTTCAATTTTTTTTAGAACCTATTCTATAGGTGTGGCCTGTTTTGTGGGAGTGGCTCGGTGGTCATGGGACCAGGCAGGCATGACTTGGTGGGCGTGTGACCGGGTGGGTGTGGCCAACTTGGAAAATATGGTGAAACTCACTTAACAATGCTCTTGTTAAGCAACTAAAATTTTGGGTTCAATTGTGGTCATAAATCCCCCCCCCTCTCTCTCTCTCTCTCTCTCCTTCCTTCCTTCCTTCCTTTTGTCTCTCTCCCCCTCTTTCTTTCTTTCTTTCTTTCGTCTCTCTCTCCCACTTTCTTTTTCTTTTCTTTTTTCTTTCTCTCTTTCTCTTTCTATCTGTCTCTTTTTTCTCTCCCTTTCCCTCCATTCCTTCCTTCCTTCCTTCCTTTTGTCTCTCTCCCCCTCTTTCTTTCTTTCTTTCTTTCGTCTCTCTCTCCCACTTNAGAATTCTTTATTGGCCAAGTGTGGTTGGACATACAAGGAATTTGTCTTCGATCAACATTTGTCAAATCAGCATTTCTTAAAAGCTCCCACATTTACCCTTTTTTCCCCAAATCATACTGTACACATTATTAAAATGCATCGTGATTTCATTCAGAGGGCCTCACACACCTACAGCGACCACACATCCTTTGATATAAAGCCTAGTTCTTGATTTCAGAAAGCAGCTCTTTCCATTTCTTTATTCTCTTGCTTTTAACATTTGAATTTTCCCTTGCAAAGCAAAGCCATAAGCATAAGGTGCTTTAAAAAAATGTTTAAGAGCCTCTTTCAGATTTGCTCCCTTTGGAGATTTTCCTCAAAAGATTTTTTTTTCAAGATTTTTGCTCCCTTTTATCTGGTTCTCACCCACCCCCCTGCAAGAATGCACATTCTGCATTCAAATCAGAACAACAACAACAAAAAGGCAACCCATTTCCCCTTGCAGTTTTGACTTGGGGTCCATCTGTGGCGTCTCCCGAGCTCCCTCTCGCGATTTTCTCCACCGATGGAGGGAAAAAATTGGAGGAATTTTGGTCGACAAGAAAGCTTGCGATTTTCTCCCAAGGTGGAGGCGGGAAAAAAAAGAAAAGGAAGGAGGCATTTTTGGTTGACAATGACACAAGGCGAGCCCAGAAGACTTTGTTCGACCGCGGCGGTCTCCTCTTTCATTAGTATCTCTGCGAGCGCGGAGGGGAGATGCGCGCGCAGCCGCGCTTGGTTCGCCGCCGGCATGGGCGGAGGGGTGGGTGGGAAACGCAAGACGCTCTCGGGCCGCACGTCCGCGTTCCGTTGCGACGTCGCGCCTGCGCAGATGCGCCACGGGAGGCGCCGGGCGGATTGTGAGGCGAGAGAACGAGAGCGCCTGCGCGGGCCGGAGGAGGAGGAGGAGGGCTGGCAATGGCGGCCGCGGGCGGCCTTGAGGCGGCTTTGGCAGCCGCCGCGGGCAACGAAGGCCCGGCCGGCGTGGCGGGGGTGCCAGCGCCCGCGGCCCCAGTGATGGTGCAGCGCGAGCCGGCTTACAACTGGCAGGCCACGAAGCGGTCGCTGCGGGAGCGCTTCGCCTTTCTCTTCGCCAACGAGCTGCTGAGCGACGTGCGCTTCGTGGTGGGCAAAGGCGGCTCTCGGGCCGGCGGAGGGGCGCCCGGGCCGGGCCAACAGCGCATCCCCGCTCACCGCTTCGTCCTGGCGGCGGGCAGCGCAGTCTTCGACGCCATGTTCAACGGCGGCATGGCCACCACCTCGGCGGAGATCGAGCTGCCCGACGTGGAGCCGGCCGCCTTCCTGGCTCTGCTCAGGTCGGAGGGGACGGGGGGCGGGGTGGGGGTTAAACTGGGGCGGGGCCCCGTGTGTTATCCCCAAAAGGGGGGGTTGCCTTTAGGGCATCACTTGCAGGGGGTGGTGGTAGAAGGGCTATTAAAAGCAGGGGCTGGACTAGAAGACCTCCAAGGTCCCTTCCAACTTTGTTATTCTATTCCATATTCCCTATTCTATTTCATTCCCTATTCTATTCTATATTCCCAATTACATTCCATATTTCCTATTCCATTCCCTATTATAATTCATATTCTCTATTCTATTCCCTATTACATTCCCATATTCCATTCCCTATTCCCTATTATATTTCATTCCCTATTCTATTCTCTATTCCCTATTACATTCCATATTCCCTATTCTATTCCTTATTCCATTCTATTCCCTATTCCATTTCATCCCCTATTCCCTATTATATTTCATATTCCCTGTTCTATTCCACTACATTCCCTAATACATTCCCATTTTCCCTATTACATTCCATTCTCTATTCCCTATTATATTTCATTCCCTATTCTATTCTCTATTCCCTATTACATCCCATATTCCCTATTCCATTCCCTATTCCATTCCATTCCCTATTCCATTCCATTCCCTATTCC